ATTATATAGTGTTGTTTATTTTAGTTGTTCATTCTCTCTCTCGCACTCTCCCTCTCTCAGCTGGTGGTCCCGCAGCCAACCAGCTGCAGCAGGCCCTGCTTCCTGTGGTGGAGCACAGTGTCTGTAGCCGTAGTGACTGGTGGGGCAGCTCTGCAAAGACCACCATGATCTGCGCTGGTGGAGAGAGCAAGTCCGCCTGTCATGTGAGTACTGGTCACCAAACTCGAATGGTCAAAGATGGATGCATTCTAGTTTCAAGTTTTATTAGTCGTATGTACAGGATACACATGGTATACACCGTCCAACGAAATGCTTACTTGCATGTCCCTTCTCGACAATGCAACAACAATAAGACATAATAAAATATAAGAATATGAACATAAAGTAAATGGCTCAGTAGAATAAACATTTACTAATGCACAGACTGGAATATGTTCCGGGATTCTTCCGATGGCATTGAGGAGTACACCACATCAGTCACTGGCTTCATCAATAAGTGTATCGACGACGTCGTCCCCACAGTGACTGTACGTACATACCCCAACCAGAAGCCATGGATTACAGGCAAATCCGCACTAAGCTAAAGGGTAGAGCTGCTGCTTTCAAGGAGCGGGACTATAACCCGGAAGCTTATAAGAAATACCGCTATGCCCTCCGATGAACCATCAAACAGGCAAAGCGTCAATACAGGACTAAGATCAAATTGTCCTACACCGTTTCAAGCAGACCACCATAGTCCCTGTGCCCAAGAACACTAAGGTAACCTGCCTAAATGACTACCGACCCGTAGCACTCACATCTGTAGCCATGGAGTGCTTTGAAAGGCTGGTCATGGCTCACATCAACACCATTATCCCAGAAACCCTAGACCCACTCCAATTTGCATACCGCCCCAACAGATCCGCAGATTATGCTATCTCTATTGCGCTTTACACTGCCCTTTCACACCTGGACAAAAGGAACACCTATTTGAGAATGCTATTCATTGACTACAGCTGAGCGTTCAACACCATAGTGCCCTCAAAGCTCATCACTAAGCTAAGGATCCTGGGACTAAACACCTCCTTCTGCAACTGGATCCTGGACTTCCTGACGGGCCACCGCCAGGTGGTTAGGGTAGGTAACAACACATCCGCCACGCTGATCCTCAACACGGGGGCCCCTCATGGGTGCGTGCTCAGTCTCCTCCGGTACTCCCTGTTCACCCATGACTACATGGCCAGGCACGACTCCAACACCATCATTAAGTTTGCCGATGACACAACAGTGGTAGGCCTGATCACCGACAACGATGAGACAGCCTATAGGGAGGAGATCAGAGACCTGGCCGTGTGGTGCCAGGACAACAACCTCTCCCACAACGTGATCAAGATAAAGGAGATTATTGTGGACTACAGGAAAAAGAAAAGGACCGAGTAAGCCCCCATTCTCATGTAGTGGAGCAGGTTGAGAGCCTCAAGTTCCTTGGTGTCCACATCACCAACAAACTAACATGGTCCAAGCACACCAAGACAGTCGCGAAGAGGGCACGACAAAACCTATTCCCCCTGAAGAGACTGAAAAGATTTGGCATGGGTCCTCAGATCCTCAAAAGGTTCTACAGCTGTACCATCGAGAGCATCCTGACTGGTTGAATCACTGCCTGGTATGGCAACTGCTCAGGATCTCTAGTGGCACAGCTAGCACTGCGATGCAGGTCCAATAGGCTTCTAAACAGCTTCTACCCCCAAGTCATAAGACTACTGAACATCTAATCAAACGCCTACCCAGACTATTTGCATTGCCCCCCCCAATGAATGTATATGTGTGTGTGTGGATGAGTGCATGTCTGTGTGGGTGTGTGTGTGAGGGAACGCATGTGTGTACAGTGCATGTTTGTCGTGTTTTGTGTATGCACTACCTTCAGAATATTTTTTATTATTTCCAATGTGGCTAGTTGCTTTTTTCCCCCATCTCCTCCACCCTGGTCTTCTTGTGTCTCCCCAGGGTGACTCAGGTGGGCCACCGAACTGTCAGGGCAGAGATGGTAGGTGGTACAGGTTGTAATGCAACAAAATAGGAAAAAACGCCAAGGGGGATGAATACTTTTGCAAGGCACTGTATAATGACCTAGAGTACTACATGATCAAATGCATTATAATAAAATGTGTTAATTACTGTTCCTCTAACGTTTGCTTCTAACAGTCTATTGGACAAAATATATCATCATACTGTTATGTGAGAGAATAAAAATGTTTTTATGGTAACAATATACAACACAATATTACATTTATTTATTTAACAAAGTGATAACTTCACTGAACTCAAAATTGGTCTTAGTTCGTGTTCGATTCGTATTAGGTCCAGCAGCATTGTCAGATAAATATAGAAGCTTTAGCCTAATAACCCTCACAGTAACCTTGAAATATGCCGGAGGTCATGGGTCAACCTCAAAGGTCAGAGGTTATGGGCCAGAGGGGTTCCAGGTGAAGGAGTCCATGCCCTGGAGCTCCTCATGCAGGTAGTCCTGCTCCACACGGGCACCGAAGGCAGGTTGTACTTGTAGCCCGTAGACTGATTTCCTTATATGAACTGTAACACAGTCAAATTTTTGAAATTGTTGCATGTTGCGATTATATTTTTGTTCAGTGTATATACAGTGGGGAGAACAAGTATTTGATACACTGCCGATTTTGCAGGTTTTCCTACTTACAAAGCATGTAGAGGTCTGTACTTTTGATCATAGGTACACTTCAACTGTGAGAGACGGAATCTAAAACAAAAATCCAGAAAATCACATTGTATGATTTTTAAGTAATTCATTTGCATTTTATTGCATGACATAAGTATTTGATACATCAGAAAAGCAGAACTTAATATTTGGTACAGAAACCTTTGTTTGCAATTACAGAGATCATACGTTTCCTGTAGGTCTTGACCAGGTTTGCACACACTGCAGCAGGGATTTTGGCCCACTCCTCCATACAGACCTTCTCCAGATCCTTTAGGTTTCGGGGCTGTCGCTGGGCAATACGACTTTCAGCTCCCTCCAAAGATTTTCTATTGGGTTCAGGTCTGGAGACTGGCTAGGCCACTCCAGGACCTTGAGATGCTTCTTACGGAGCCACTCCTTAGTTGGCCTGGCTGTGTGTTTCGGGTCGTTGTCATGCTGGAAGACCCAGCCACGACCCATCTTCAATGCTCTTACTGAGGGAAGGAGGTTGTTGGCCAAGATCTCGCGATACATGGCCCCATCCATCCTCCCCTCAATACAGTGCAGTTGTCCTTTCCCCTTTGCAGAAAAGTATCCCCAAAGAATGATGTTTCCACCTCCATGCTTCACGGTTGGGATGGTGTTCTTGGGGTTGTACTCATCCTTCTTCTTCCTCCAAACACGGCGAGTGGAGTTTAGACCAAAAAGCTCTATTTTTGTCTCATCAGACCACATGATCTTCTCCCATTCCACGTCTGGATCATCCAGATGGTCATTGGCAAACTTCAGACGGGCCTGGACATGCGCTGGCTTGAGCAGGGGAACCTTGCGTGCGCTGCAGGATTTTAATACATGACGGCGTAGTGTGTTACTAATGGTTTTCTTTGAGATGTGGTCCCAGCTCTCTTCAGGTCATTGACCAGGTCCTGCCGTGTAGTTCTGGGCTGATCCCTCACCTTCCTCATGATCATTGATGCCCCACGAGGTGAGATCTTGCATGGAGCCCCAGACCGAGGGTGATTGACCGTCATCTTGAACTTCTTCCTTTTTCTAATAATTGTGCCAACAGTTGTTGCCTTCTCACCAAGCTGCTTGCCTATTGTCCTGTAGCCCATACCAACCTTGTGCAGGTCTTCAATTTTATCCCTGATGTCCTTACACAGCTCTCTGGTCTTGGCCATTATGGAGAGGTTGGAGTCTGTTTGATTGAGTGTGTGGACAGGTGTCTTTTATATAGGTAACAAGTTCAAACAGGTGCAGTTAATACAGGTAATGAGTGGAGAACAGGAGGGCTTCTTAAAGAAAAACTAACAGGTCTGTGAGTGCCGGAATTCTTCCTGGTTGGTAGGTGATCAAATACTTATGTCATGCAATAAAATGCAAATTAATTACTTAAAAATCATACAATGTGATTTTCTAGATTTTTGTTTTAGATTCCGTCTCTCACAGTTGAAGTGTACTTATGATAAAAAGTACAGACCTCTACATGCTTTGTAAGTAGGAAAACCTGCAAAACAGGGTGCCAGTGGCGGATTTGCCAATCTTGGTGTTCTCTGGCAAATGCCAAACGTCCTGCACGGTGTTGGGCTGTAAGCACAACCCCCACCTGTGGACGTCGGGCCCTCATACCACCCTCATGGAGTCTGTTTCTGACAGTTTGAGTAGACACATGCACATTTGTGGCCTGCTGGAGGTCATTTTGCAGGGCTCTGGCAGTGCTCCTCCTGCTCCTCCTTGCACAAAGGCGGAGGTAGCAGTCCTGCTGCTGGGTTGTTGCCCTCCTACGGCCTCCTCCACATCTCCTGATGTACTGGCCTGTCTCCTGGTAGCGCCTCCATGCTCTGTACACTACGCTGACAGACACAGCAAACCTTCTTGCCACAGCTCGCATTGATGTGCCATCCTGGATGAGCTGCACTACCTGAGCCACTTGTGTGGGTTGTAGACTCCGTCTCATGCTACCACTAGAGTGAAAGCACCGCCAGCATTCAAAAGTGACCAAAACATCAGCCAGGAAGCATAGGAACTGAGAAGTGGTCTGTGGTCACCACCTGCAAAACCAGTCCTTTATTGGGGGTGTCTTGCTAATTGCCTATAATTTCCACCTGTTGTCTATTCCATTTGCACAACAGCATGTGAAATGTATTGTCAATCAGTGTTGCTTCCTAAGTGGACAGTTTGATTTCACAGAAGTGTGATTGACTTGGAGTTACATTGTGTTGTTTAAGTGTTCCCTTTATTTTTTTGAGCAGTGTATTTTAGTTGGTCGCAGTTTTTCGGCCGGTGGTTTATCGACATTAAGCAGTGCTCATGCAGGTGTTGTTGTATAACGCAGGGTTTTCTTCAGTGTGTTCGATACAGGGGGGTCGATGCCAAACTGTCCCACACCTGCCTCCGTCCCATCTGGTGAATTACGTTTGATTCTGTTACTGACAGCAGTGCTGGCACTCAATATATTCGATAAAAATGCATTTCGTTCACTTTGAACTGGACCCTTATTTCTGTTGGTCTGAAACATACTGAAAACCGCGAGGACGGGGTGGGTACCTTTCCTTGCATCCGATGAGTCTGTCTTGACAGTGGGACTACTTTTTAACAGAATAAGTTTTGCCAGAATTGCGAGATTTCTTGAGATGAGGTCCGCTCTCGTCTTTACTGGTTGATCTTGGACAAGTGTCATTATTCATCAAACATCTGCCCAGATGGGCATTGATTTTTGACGCTGCGAAATCCTTAGAACAAACGGGACATTGTACTGTGTCTGCAACTCTACCTGCCACTTCGCTGCTCGCCATGTTTTCTTTCCCGCTAAACTTGACCTCGCCAGGTGTTCTCTTTGATATTTATTATTGTAGGTATCGCTTTTACAATTTCACTTCATATTTATTGAGTTCACATGTGTCGTCAGTTTAGGGGTGTCACATTTTTTAAAGCATGGTTATGGGATTTGTAGTTTATAGCTCTGCAGGTAGTGGGCTTCTGGGCTAGATGCAATGAGGAACAGGTGAAATAAATAAACTCTTATTTTTCCCATTATCCAAATGTATATCAACATCTCTTGTCAGGAGCAACATAGTCTGTTGCAACTACATGCATGTCTGACTGTGTATTTTCTCTCACTTCAGCTCAGACAAGAGGCCCAGCAGCCATGAGAGACAGGCACCAGAGGTCCCCTGCAGAGGACAGAGAATGCCCACTGTGGTTGGGTGTCTCCCCCAGCCAAGGTGGCCAAGCTGAAGGTGGTCCGCCAGCGCACTGACAGCCAGAACAACATAGCCATGCTGGTATTCTTCTACTACCTGGAGAGGGTGGAGACCATGCGTTGCTTCTGGGAGCTGAAGCACATCCAGCTGGAGGGAGATTTTCAGGCATGGTATTTTATGGTTGACTGGCACCATCTAGTGTCATAGTCCCTTCACTGCAGCATGCGCCAATCTCGTTCAGTGATTTTCAAACCTCTCCTCGGGGACCCCCAGCCGTTTCACAATTTTGTTGTTGCCCTGAACTAGCTAACTTTGTTTCACTTCATCAACAGCTTGATAACTAGTTGACTAATTGAATCAGGTGTGGCAGCTCTTGAATAGTTCAAATACATGGATGGGCTGGGGGTCCTCGAGGAGTCTACTGAGCTCTAGTCTACTGAGTTCCCCAAGAGGGGGCTCTAACTCGAACCACAGAACCATACATCTATGGAATTAAAGAACAGAACCAAGATGCAGTCAGTGTTTCAGCCACAGGGTCGAATCTCTCTCAACATTGAAAAAGAAGCCATTATTTTGACTCAACACCCTGCTCTGCTGCACTCTAGTTTGGACTTGATAAGAAACCATTATGCAGCATTCCAAAAAATTATAATATAGATTTTGTTTTACAGTGGATGCTTTTCTATAACAAGTGGCATAGAACGAATTTGTGCAGTAGGGTAACATGGGGTAACTAGATCCCCCTAAATGTCCAATTGCTGTCACAAAAAAGCAAAGTTTGGTACAAATTAGGTATGTGGATGATGGTCATAATAATAATAATACATGGGACTTATATAGCGCTTTTCAAAGACCCAAAGTCACTTTCCAGTTGTAGAAAAAGAAAAAGAAAAAACAGGAGTCAAAACTAAGCATCAGACTAAACAAAAACTTGAATAAAGAGAGGGGTGGGCTCAAAGAAGGGAAAGAATGTGATGTATATGTGTGTGTGTGTGTGTATGTGGGCTGGGGGCTTAAGGGTAGGCCTTGTCAAAAATGTTGGGCTGTAGGAGGGACTGAAAGATGCTTAGGCAAACAAACTATGAAGGGAAATAAGTGGCTACAGTTTACACTTCTTTTGTTATTTAATTAAATGTAATTGTTTTTAAAGGGGCGTTTTTTCCAAGTCAAATCAAATCAAGTTTTATTTGTCACATGCGCCGAATACAACAGGTGTAGACCTTACCGTGAAATGCTTACTTACAAGCCCTTAACCAACAATGCAGTTCAAGAAATAGAGTTAAGAAAATATTTACTAAATAAACTCAAGTCAAAAATAAAATAAAAAGTAACACAATAAAATTAAATAACAATAACGAGGCTGTATACAGGCGGTACCGGTACCGAGTCAATGTGTGGGGGTACAGGTTAGTCGAGGTAATTTGTACATGTAGGTAGTGGTGAAGTGACAATGCATATCTAATAAACAGCGAGTAGCAAAATAATATTGCAATATTGTCGTTACGATATATCGTAAAAAATAATATCCCGATATGTAACTGTATCGTTTTTCCCCTCATCACTATCAATCATTCCCTTGTGCTATTATCATCATCTCTACTATGACAACCAGGGATTTTGCCCTTGCAAACCAATCTCTTATGTATGCTGACATACTTAGCACCAACCTCTCAGTAGGTCTGTCTCTTAGACCCCCTTTGCTGGCACCTGTCACTCTTTTGTCAGCAGGACAAACCCGCCTGTCCTTTGAACCCCATGGAGCTGATGGGCTGAGGAGTGGGGGTTGACAGAGTTTACAAAATTTGAGCGGTGGAGCAGAGATAATTGTGTAGTAGTGTTTGGGCGTTCCTTACCCTGGACACTGGACAATCTCTCTCTCCTAATCAGCATACTGCTATCCGTCTTAACCTTCCTCTCTGAAGCTTCTGAATCCTCTCTCTGAGCATCGAGAGGACCCCGTTGGACACTGAGATTATAGACAAAGCGGAGAGTGGATAAGGCCATGGATAACTTCTTCAAAGGCAGGGACATTTGGCTAGTGAGCAGTATGTTTCTGATGGCTTCGTACCTCTGGCACAGGCTCTGGGATTTCCTCTGCTACAGGAGGAAGCCCACAGAATCCATTACATCCAACGTGCAGGTAGAGAAGAAGGCTTTTTGATGTCTTGTAAATAGGAGAAGTGTGGAGACTGCTTTATGCCAATGGGTGTTGTGAAAATTCTACTTATTGCTATCTCACAAAGCTCGGAACAGCATGCAGCACCTGGGTCATGTGACCTAGGACTGTAGCTAGAAGGCATGGCTTTGAAATGTGCTTTTTTGTTGTTGAGTATTTCAGTTTGTTCATTCAGGATGGCATGCTGTTACTGTAGCTTTAAAACGGTATGAAACCCTACAGTTCTGGCACAGACGTGATGTTCCATTGGATACAAGTTTGAAGTAGAACATAGCCCATCGATACTTGTCAGCACATTAGTAAGATATGAGAAGGCCTTAGGCATTGGACCCTTTACACTTAATATGACCATGTGCAATTCTGTGATAGTTGTAGATGCCCCAGCATAGATGCCCCAGCATTTTTCACTTTCAACACTAACTTAAATGTATACAAAATATTTAGGGGACAAGATAAGCATGTTTAAAATATATATGTACACACTGAAAATGAAACAATTCTGTGTCCATTCATTTTTCCTAGAGCGGTTAGAGCTTGAAGTAGATATGGACCCATGATGGATTGCATGTGATGTAATGAACTATACTGAACAAAAATATGAACGCAACATGTAAAGTGTTGGTCCCATGTTTCATGAGCTGAAATAAAAGATCCCAGAAATTGTCCATACTCACAAAATGCTTTATTTCTCTCAAACAAATTTTGAGCACAAATTTGTTTACATCCCTGTTAGTGAGCATTTCTCCTTTGCCAAGATAATCCATCCACCTGACAGGTGTGGCATATCAAGAAGCTGATTAAACAGCATGATCATTACACAGGTGCACCTTGTGCTGGGAACAATATAAGGCCACTCTAATATGTGCAGTTTTGTCACAAAACACAATGTCATAGATGTCACAAGTTTTGAGGGAGCGTGCAATTGGCATGCTGACTGCAGGAATGTCCACCAGAGCTGTTGCCAGATAATTGAATGTTAGTTTCTCTACCATAAGCCGCCTCCAACTTTGTTTTAGAGAATTTGGCAGTACATCCAACCGGCCGCACAACCGCAGACCACGTGTAACCACGCCAGCCCAGGACCTCCACATCCGGCTTCTTCACCTGTGGGATTGTCTGAGGGGGTGCTGAGGCGCATTTCTGTCTGTAATAAAGCCCCTTTGTGGGGATAAAGTCATTCTGATTGGCTGGGCCTGGCTCCCCAGTGGGTCATGTATACAGATCATGTACAATGCATTCGGAAATTATTCAGACGCCTTCACGTTTTCCACATTTTGTTATGTTACAGCCTTATTCTAAAATTGATTACAAAAAATATGTACACATCAATCTACACACAATGTCCCATAATGACAAAGCAAAAACCGTTTTTTAGAATTTTCATCAGACCAGAGAATCTTGTTTCTCATGGTCTGAGAGTCCTTCAGGTGCCTTTTGGCAAACTCCAAGCGGGCTATCATGTGCCTTTTACTGAGGAGTGGCTTCCGTCTGGCCACTCTACCATAATGGCCTGATTGGTGGAGTGTTGCAGGGATGCTTGTCCTTTTGGAAGTTTCTCCCATCTCCACAGAGGAACTCTGGAGCTCTGTCAGAGTGATAATCGGGTTCTTGGTCACCTTCCCGACCAAGGCCCTTCTCCCCCAATTGCTCAGTTTGGCCCAGGCAGCCAGCTCTAGGAAGAGTCTTAGTGGTTCTAAACTTCTTCCATTTAAGAAAACTTTGGAAAAAGCGAATGGGTCTGAATACTTTCCGAATGCAATGTATACTGAACAAAAATATAAACGCAACATGCCAGGCTGTGCCCTTGCCCAGTCGTGAAATCCATAGATTAGGGCCTATTGAATTTATTTCAATTGACTGATTTCCTGATATGAACTGTAACTCAGTAAAATCATTGAAGTCTATATTTTTGTTTAGTATACATGATATGTGGTATCCCCGCTATGTAACAGTGCAACTGAACTAAATATGGAGGATAGCCCCTCAACTGGCCTCATTTGTATACTGTAGTTGGCGAGTATAGGGTGTGATGTCTTTGACGTAATGGATATAAACATTAAGGTAAATGGGTGATTTGGAAGAGCAAAAGACAGTGCAAAAGACAGAAGCCTACAGTTATCTCTCTATCTCTCCCTCTTTCTTTCTGTCTCTCTCTGAGGCATCTAGAGCAGTACAAATCAGTGAGTAACAGTACAGTTTAATAGCGTCTGTTAACACCTGGCATCATGTTTTGATATCACAGAGATTTACTATGGGGTGGCTAGACAAGCTAACTGAGGCTATCATGTTTTGAACTAGTAGCGTCATTATTAACGTCAAATGAAATTGCAGGACACTGTGTGACAGTACAGAGATGCCTGCTGAAATTGTTCTCTCATACCCACCAGGTACCCATGTTTGTACAGCCAGCCCTTCT